TAGCATATATGCTAATAAAAAAATTCAGTGTTGAAAAAATATATAGGTGTTCGGCAGCGATTTACAATAATAGGTAATCCTCAAACAGTTGTCATAAAATAAATATTAGGACAAATGCAAAAATAATAATAATAAAAATTAAATGTTTACTTCCTAGATCTTCCAGTCAACAACACCACCTATTAAACCATACATCCAACTACATATCAAACCACATCTCTCATTCCCCTTCAATTCATTCAACTCTTTAGTCCACTGCTTGCAGCTCTCTATTGTCACAGTGCTAATTCAGCCCTTTTCCTGTGGCGAGTTATTTATTCCCATACGATTAGTACTCTATAATACTTGACTTTATATCAGCTAACAGATAATTTTAGGAGAAATAGATGATACAAAAATAGGAAACAGTGTCTGGGTTGAAGATAGTGAAAGGTTCTTGGTTGAAGCTCTTCTGAGACATGTTGAGAATGGTGAACATGGAGAAAATGGATTCAAAAAGTCTGTTTGGCTCAGTGTTGTTACAGAACTCAATGCAGCCTATAAGGAAGTTAGCACCAAACCTTTCACAGTTGCTCAAGCTAAAAGCAAAGAGGTTATAGTAAGTTAATATCAATTCTACTCCAAGTATTGAATTTTCTTATAGAGAATACATAAGCTGATAACAATATAGCTTAAGAAGGAGTTTGATATTGTTCATGCGGTCCACCAAAATTCTGGTTTTGGATGGGATGATGCTCGAGGTTTGCCAACTGCATTAGCTGAAGTGTGGAGAGTTTATCTTGATGTAAGTTTTTCTCTTTATATTTGCATACTAGTCTTATAAACTAATTATACAGAATTATTTAACAGCGTTATAAAGAGGCTACAAAGTACAGACATAAAGGCTTTCCTTTATATGACCAGCTAGCTAGTTTGTTCCTTGGAGTCTGAGCTACGGGCATGTTTGCTCATTCTGCTACTATTTAATCTCAGATTGAACAAGCTGAAGGTAGTCAGGAGGAGCACAGGAGAACGACTGGAATTTCCCAATCATATTCTGTGGAGGATATGTCAAGAGTTCTTGACATTGATTCCCAGAGTGGGCTGGAAAATTGGGAGAATGTGATTGAGCATAGCTTTCCACTTACGAGTTTACAACAAAATCCTCTTTGCTGTCAGAGATCATTATTGGACTCCATCAATCCTGTACTTGATGCTCTCGGAATATCACTCCACCAACTAGAAAGCGACCCAGACCTACCAGGGTTTCTCAAACATCACTCCGTAAAGCACTTACTTATGCAACGGACGAAATGGTAAATCAGCGGGAGCATGGAATGCCTTCAAAGTATGAAAGAGCAATCAAAGTCCTCGAGGACTGCTATTCAGATAAGCTGTCTGTAGATGAGATGGTCAAGGCAGTTTCTCTCTTTGAGGACAGGGCCAAGGCCTGTGTGTTTATTGGATTATCACCTGAAGTAGTTAGAGATGCATGGATCAAGCATCAAATTGGAAACTGATAGAATAACTTGTAGATATACATGCTTTACTAGTTTTAAAGTTGGATTTTTTTTTTCTTCCTATATCTAGATTAGAAATAGGAACTTTTTTTTTACATACATTAACCCTTTAGTGAAACTCATACCTTCCCAGATATAACTGGTAGTCCTGCCACATTTTATCAGCTATCTGCTCCCTGATTTGCTCCATAGCTGGGGAAGCCTGTTCCTGTTCCGCAGCTACTTCCTCCTGACTTTCATCATCAGTGTCCCCATGGTCACTCTCTCCTTCATATAGTCTATCACTCAACCCCTCCAGTTCTTCTTGAGTATGGTCTTCATAGTCTAATAGTCAGCTTTATATTACAGAAAGAATATTTATATTTTACAGAATGAATGGAATATTTAGCATGCAAACCTTGTTCATTTAATTGATCCATAAAACGCTCTGCTTCAGGAGATTCCATACGAATAAGGTTATGCAGACCAGCAAGTGCCACTACAAGTTTTACTTGAGTAACCATTGGGAACTCAAGTTGGCCTGGCAGGATAGAAAACTGACGCTTGAAGATTCCAAAGGATCTTTCTATTACATTGCGTAATTGAGAATGTCAGAGATTAAAAAGCTCTTCTTTATTTGTTGGCCTATTATTATTTGAAATATAGTTAGAACTTATATTTCATTAAGTAGTACACTTGTAATCCCTTATGATTCCAACTTACCTTTTACGCGACTGATAATGCTCATGCAAGTAATATCTAACCCTACCATAGGGGGTTAGGCAATGATTGCTCAAAGCATACCTGGCATTCCCTAGATAGTATTTTCCATCTGGAATCACAAATCCCTTTGCTAGAACATCTCTAAAAACCCTTCCATCATGTGCAGAGCCCTCCCAACCTGACAAAACAAAGCAAAAGTACATGCTAAATGTACACATGGTGAAGACATTTTGTGATACCTGTCCCTTACGATTACGAAAGCATGGGAGCATGGTATTCGGGATATGAGCTATGATATGCATGCCATCCATGGCTCCAAGAGCATTCTGAAAGTATGGATAGAACTTAGGATTGCACTGAATCTCATACGGGCATTCATTGGGTGGAAGCATAATAAACTCATTGGCTAATTCTACTAGGCCATCAAGGACACTGTTAAAATATCTAATTAAGGACACATTAGCTATCCAATTACTATCTAATATGGTATAATACTAAAGTAATAAGTAAGATGTCAAATATCTTTACCTGCTTAAAGTGTCTCCACTTTTTTGAAATCTTTCTTGGACCTGATGGTTAGATGCATTGTGGGATACTGCCCAGACAAACATAGCCACTTGTTCTGTCAAAAAAATATGCTGTGTGCTTCTCAAGTGGCTACCCTGTTCCAACAAACTGCACAAATATAGAAATACCTGCTTTGACATACGAAGAACCTCATGAAAGCGCTTCTCACTGGTAGTTGCTGATAATAGTTCCACAGTATAGATTCTACCAGTTAGAATAGAGGTACGGACTCTTACTGCTTCAAATCGATGATCGACATACTCCTCGACGTTGGTGATAACTCGAAGCAAATTGATATGCTTACGGGAGCACACTTCATTCATTTTGGACATATCAGAATCAGAGTCTGAATAGCTCTCATCAGAGTCAAAGGTAGTAAGCTCATGGCTACTCTGAGGTAGAAAGTTTTTCGATTGTTGTTCGTTTATAATAAAAAGTGGCTGATAGTTGAATGATATAAATTCAAATGATGTATAATCTATTAGCTCTTTGCTACAAATAATGTAATATTACTCTTCATTTTATTTGTCATAACATGCATCATATTTCATGATTCAAACCTAGCCCTATAGTGCAAATGAGGTCAAACCGGGACCTCAAAACAGGCCAAATACGATCTGGGACTAGTCCACCAAAACATGGAATTTTGATAAAAAAAAACTGCTACAATGATGGCACTTCCAAAGAGAACAGGGTAGTGGTTTTTCTTTCTTAATTAAGTATTCATAGCAAGAGGAGTCCCAGAACTTGAATAAAAAGTAAAAATTTTGGTGAGAGTGAAACAAGTGATACAATCTACACACTGCTGTGCTGAAATATACTGTGGAGTGGATATGGGTAGGGTAAACAATAAAAAACCATGGTCTGAAGACAAAAGGTTTGCACAAGGTTATGGAACAGTTATTTGAGGTTAACCAGTTAAATTTATTACTGGTTAGGGAGTTCCTACCCTTATACCCTATTTCTATGGGCATCTCTTGTCATTACCCGGATCGGTTGCAACCGGTTTCACCGGAATTCCTGTTTCATCGGAGGACCCACCTTTAGGCACTTTCCACCGTACAAGAAACTAGTATGGACCACCTCGAGACCTCGAGGATTCCTGTTGCTCAGTCTATCAAACAGGTAAAATATTATAGTTTAATTTAATCTCTTGTTCATAGACTCAAGACCATGATAATATAATCTAATCTCTCTTATTACCCTAGAAATTGATGGTTTATATCAAAAATTCTGATTTGTTTAATTATATAATATAATGTTAAAAAGAAGATATAACTGTTAAAGAAAAGAAAATAACTAAAAGTGAACTTTAACCACTTCCTCTCTCATATTCCAATTGCCAACTTCAATTCCCTTTTGAATAATAAATTCCTGTTCTATCTACTTTCTTATTATCTCTTGATAGTATACTCAATTTTTTCCTCCTCCTTCTGCAATATAAATCTTATCAACTTTGTAATAAAACTTCAGGATATACAATATTCTGAGTAGAATTTCCATGATCAGCATGCTGTAAAACTTTTAAACCTTGCAGAGTAGTAACTCGAGAAAGTGCAACATAAAGTTGCCCATGTGTAAAGACTGGCTCACGCAGATTAATTCCAACTACATCCAGTGATTGTCCTTGAGCCTTATTTACTGTCATAGCAAATAATAAACGAATTGGAAATTGTTTACGGGTAAGTATGAAAGGCAGTTCACCTTCAGTTGTTGAAAGAGTAATCCGAGGGATAACCTTAACTGCTCCATCAAAATCACCTCCTAGTATTCGTACCTCAATACTCCATCTTTCTAGTCTAGTAATAGTCATTCGTGTTCCATTACAGAGACCCTCTTTAGGATAAAGATTGCGTAGCAAAATAACTAGTACACCAACTTTAAGTTTAAGTTTTGATGGTGGAAGTGAGGCAAGGTTAAGGCTTTGAAGGTATTCAACTGGCAATACATTTCCACCTTCATCCCCACCAATACTCTCTGCATGGTCAATTGAAAAGTATTTATGCTCGGGTCCAGGAATCTCTTGAAGTACTTTCTCATTGATTGAAGATACTGTATCATTCCGCATTGCTAAAATTGCACGTCGTGTAAAGGTAGCAGAGTTGTGATGAGCTGTCTGTAACAGCTCTCGTGGAAAAACATGTCTACACAGTTCATCTAATGTATTACATAGTGGTATGAACTCTGGCAGAGAAATAGTGCCTTAACACTCAGATAAGTAGGACATAGTGGAATGAACTCTGAAAGAGAGATAGTACCTTGATACTCAGGTGAGTAGGACATGTGAGATAACCAAGTTGCAAACTCTTGATCATCATTTCTGTTTCTGACCCGCATATTTTGATGTAATAAAAGGATTTTCAACTTTGGCCAAATAAATGACCTTCTCAAGCAGGCCTCTACAGTAGTACCTCGATTACCCTTTCGAACTACAGGAAGAATTTGTGCAAAGTCTCCTCCTAAAACAATTAGAATATTACCAAATAAACAATTTTCTCCTACACCACATATGTCATTCAGTGTATGACTAACAGCTTCAAAGCAGTATTTGTGTTGCATTGGAACTTCATCCCAAATGATCAAGGATGTTTCTTTAATTAATGTAGCAAGTGAGGAATTCTGAGAAATAGCACATGTAGAGGATTCATTTATTATAATAGGTATTTTAAACCTTGAGTGTGATGTTCTTCCACCAGGTAATAGTAATGATGCTATACCTGAGGAAGCTACACAGAGAACTATCTTCCTCTGGGAACGAAAGTAGCTGCATAAAACCTTATACAGAAAGGTTTTGCCTGTACCAGCTGGACCATGTAAAAAGTAACTTGAGGTTAATCCAGCAGCAATGGAATATAAAATTGATGTATAGGCATTGTGTTGACCTTCATTAAGTTGTGCAAGGGTATGATCATGTTGGGAAATCTCCTGTATCGGATCATAATTCAGTTCTGTTGCTATTAACTGATTACCTGCAGTTCTATTCCAATTATATTCATAACTTGTTAGTCCAAAGTCATGTAATTTCTTTCCTGACTCTGCAAGAATTTGAGAGATAAGGTAAAGGCCATAATCGAAATGTGGAGAAGGTAGATTTTGAGAAGTAATTAGAATAGAAGTATGCTCTAATGTATATATTAGATCATCACAAATGCTAGAACGAAACTGCTCCCAAAGCTTTTAAGGATCTGTAATAGAACCAAAAAGCAAACCAGTTGTAAACAGAATTCTTAAAGATCTGCCACTTGCAAAATGAATTGCTTCATTGAAGCACCGTATCCATTCCTCATCATCCTCAAGCAGGCCACATGCAATGCAGGCATGTTTAAATGTAGTATGTGTAACACCTTGTACTGTACGTAAATGCTCATATGACTGAGCTTCTGGGATAATTGTTAATAAAAGTCGGAGATAGTACTTTTCTCCCATAATTGGAGTACAGTGGTATATTCATCCAATTGAAACTCCTGCTTTCCTTGGTGACCATACTCGCATAGATCTATCATAGGTATAATATGTTGGAAAATCCTGATAAAGGTATTTGTGGTCATCAGAATGCAAGGTATTGTATTGAAAAAATGCCATAAGTGTTGAGCGTGCCGATTCCATTTGATCCAGTAGCTATTCTTCTGTGATACCATTTTGGAAGTAAACAGGCTGCTCTCCAGGAAGATGAATTGCAAGGTGCATAACTGCTGGGTACTCTTCATGCATGCTAAATTCAAAGAGGCGCCATACTGCCTCTGTTGGGCCAATATATCTTCCTTGTAAATACTGTTGTACCTCATCCTCATTGTTTCTCAACTCAATAGTACTCCGATCTGATCCTTTATAAATATATTTATGAATATATTTGATTGCCTGAATTGAAGCACAAACCTCTACATTAATATGTGCTTTATAGCGCCAGGAGAGATAGGGGTTATATGGTACAATCCATCGATTATCGAGAGTAATAGTTTCATTATTCCTGGTATCCTGTCGGCTGGAAATTGCAATTGATCTACCATCATTTCTTCTTCGGTAAACAGGGTATCCATCTTCTTGAACAGTTGTTGTAGGCTGAAATTTCTTAGGATAATTCTTACTGCATGTGAGTATACCACAACTATTTGGCTGCATGCAAGGTGAGGTAGGAAAATGAGATCCACAGGGTCCATGTACCATCGAGGAGTTCACAATTGCTGCAATCTCACCATCTTGGTCTTGAGTAGCATCTGGTATTTCTGCACTAACAATTTCATCAATTTTTTCAGGTGTAAGAAATTGATCATCTTTATGTAGAAATAATAAAAGATGCATGTGTGGTAAACCACGTTTTTGATACTCAATTGTCCATACATAACCTAAAAACTGACCAAAAATATTTTGATGTCTTAACTCATATAGTAATTGACGTTGTTTTATATGAAAGACTCTTGCAACTAAGTCTGGTCGATCTACTGCAGATTGTCCTGGAAGTAGTGCATCTGTAATTTCTTTCCACTTTGGATTGGCTATAAACGTGATAAAGAGTGTTGGACGTCCAAAGTGTCTGACAATAGCCATTGAATCTTGATACAATTGTTGCATGTATCTATCACCTCCAGTATAGCTACTGGGTAGGATTATACGCCGTCCTACCTGCTGTGCATTAAAGTCTTGAGCAATAAGGCTATCAGTAAGTCCATTACAGATATCTGCTCTTAATTGAGACTGATGGTTGCTAATCCACCCTAATTTATTTTGGTCACAGACTGACCAAGCATCCACTAAATATTGTTGAAATAGTCGTTGAGAAAGAAAAAGAGCTTTGCACTCATGTTCTCTTAGGTGTAAACGGTATCTTTTTAGTACATTAGTTATCAACCTGAATTAACCTTCAAATCTCTCAGAAGTACTATCTTACCTGTAAAAAACTCGTTGATTTAATCTCAACTTCTTTCTAACCTGTCCTTGGTCTTGTATCTCTAGGCTCCAGTGCCAACCCAAATCTCCCTGAGGAAAAAGTAAAACATAGTGTAATGCCATATAGCTTGCATGATTTGGATTGATAGTACTGAAAGCACTTTCTGAATTTGCTAAGCGCTTAGCTAAGACTATATCTCGAAATCCTGGCTCTCCATACTCATTGGGAATAATAGCAGCAATTTCATTACTTGCAGGTAAATTCTCCCTTCTTTTGTCTGCACCTGTCTCCATAACTAATCGTAATTGTGGATTCAGAACTACTTGTGCCTCCACCACACTATCTTCTATACTGTCTAATTGCTCCTTTGCAGTCTTGTATATATGTATATATGGATTTACTTGATGTAACTCATTTGTTAGAGCCAATAGTACTGAACTATCTAATCTTGGATGTGTTGACTGTCTGAGATCTGCTGCATATTGTGGATCGTAAAAATAAAGTTGTGCAAATGCTGGTATACTGTCAGGTTCTGGTTGTAAAGGACCTTGCAGATAATATAGTTCTCCATGAATTTGGAAGCATTGAATACCAGCTCCTTGTACTTGAAAGCGGTTATCAGGTTGATATTTGAGTGAAGTAAAGGTAAGAGCTGAATTGTATTCACGAATTTTAGAACGAAAGTTTCGTGCAACTGAATCTAGAGATTCTAGAAGATATTGTAAATATGGTGGTGGTGGCTTTAATAGGTCTAGTTGAACATCTCCTCTCTTGCAGCAAGTTTCAAACTTTGGAGTTTTCTTTGAACTATTAGAAGTTCGTTCATCTATCCAATGCAATGCTCCACAGGAGTTGCATTTAATAGACATAGTTCCTAACTGGAATGGTGTCCATTTATGATATGATGAGACAAATGCTATAGGATGATTGTAATTTTGATCCTGCTATTAGAAATAACTTAGCAAATAGAAACCTTACCAACTTCACTTTTAGTCTGGAGGTTAATATACCATAGTAGCTAGTGGTAAGTTGCAAGTATTCTGTAATTGATGTCTCCGTTATCGATTTTCTGCCCTTTGTTGCTTTTCTCCTATTAGTACTTTAAATTCTAAGGTCTATTCTATAACTTATACCATGATTCCAGGATACCTACTAAATATAACCTGCATGACTTTTTGAGAAGACCTTGTTGATTTTGATCAAATTCTATATTTTTCTTTTCTCTTCTGCAACTGGAACACTTAACAGTTGCCATCCTATTCCTTGATGAGTAGTATAGCTTTTTAATAATAGCTGCTAAAAGTTAGCTTAATATGAATAAATTAACTGAAGAGATTGAGAAGAAGATAGCTCTCTTACATAGAATAAAAAAGAAGTAAAATATTACAATTCAGCAGAAGAAATAGGGTTAAAGAGATTAGATAAATGACTTAAGAAAGACAGAAGAAGAGAGGAAAGAGGTGAAAAAGATGGGATAAAAAGGTAATAAGTAGGAAGTGGTAAGTAGAAAGAGTAAAGTAGGAAGTGGTTAATAATGACATAGAGGAGAGAAGTACAAAGAGACTTTATAAGAAAGAAGGAATAAGTTAAAAACTACTTGATTAACTGGGAGAGGAGCAATTTATGGCTTGATACACATAGAAAAATACAAATATACTATAATTTATGGTTCTTGAAGTTCAAAATATACACCATGATTTTAGGTACTTTTGATACAGAAATAGAGCTTTATCCAAGACTATCAAAAAAATTTTAAAAAATACTACATGAAAAAGCTGATAGCTGTAATAAGTGTAGTAGTTTTTTTTAAATCTGCATCATTTTTTAAAAGGTCTATTTAACTTTGAAATAAGTTATTTTCTGTGAGAGTTGAAAAAAAATTACATTAGGCATACCTGATAATACTTCAATAACTGTTTTATCATAAATACTTAGTATTTTCAGTTTGAATCCAAATGTACCTGCATCCTATATGAAATATCATCATACAAAATTGAGTGTGGGCCAGGGAGCTCAACTCTGGACCAATCAGGAGGCTGGGAAATCTGCAAAGCAGTGTTGTAGTACATATTAGATACATGCAATAAAAATTTATAGAGGTAATAAAAATATATCATGATATAATGTCAGTTACCGAACACACCCCTATATGAAAACTTTAATATGCCAAAATTTATGCTATAAAAGTGACGTGCCGAACAGGGCCTAAAACAATGGCTGAGACACTAATTTCCACTTCTCTGGTCCACACATCTTATCTTAACCTCCTAAAACACCATCCAATTACTCAAGTTCCTACGGCAATAGAGCCATAATTCTCACAGGAGTGGCTGAAAAGCCTTTGGGGCTTGAACATAGGAGATAATACTGGGACAGACGTACAAACGCCTGTAACCCAACCTATAGGCAGGGTAGGGGACTGGCTCGAGAAAGAAGAGGGGAAGCAAGGAGGGAAAAGAATATCAAATGGAAACAAACTACCAAGCTAGGTAGCAAGAATTCCACTCGTGGGGTATTGGGTATTCGGACGGGAGATGGAGAGAGAGAGCGGGGGGTAGAGGGATACCTCCGAATCTGTTTCTCTCGGCCTTTCAAGCACGAGGGAGATGGGACGCCGTTGTAGTCTGGGTGATCCAATGTCTCAAACCATGAGGTTGTGGGGGCGGTATTTATCGAAAAATATCTAAGCCGTGACCGCATTTTTGACCTGAGAATACTGGGCTTCGTCGATTGGAGAGCCTTGACGAAATGCCATCGGTGAAGCGTCCTTTCTGATGGGTACATTCCGGTGTCGGAGTCGGGTTGCTGCTCAGAGATACATTCCATTGCGGCATTAACACAAAGCTTTTTCAAGTCAGAGCCAGTAAATGAACATGTACTACTTGCTAAGGCCAAAATGCTGACGTCTGATGCCAGGTCCTCTTCACTCACGTGAATGCGGATAATATGGGCCCTTGCTAGTGTTGAGGGGATACCGATATGGATATGCTCGAATGCACGATCAAGTACCGCAGAATCGAGATCAAAGGGACGACTTGTAGTGAGCAAGATGAACGGGGCGCTGGAGTTATTGGGAATACCATCCCACTCTAGTAGAAATTGGGTCCCATCGCAGCCTTTGCGACCAAAAATTGCATCCGCTTTATGAACGAATATAATGCAGGGCGCAAGCTTATGTGCCAAGCTGAATATAGCGTGAATCCCCCTCTCAACCTCTCCCGGGTGTGTTTGGGGAAAATCCGCTCGGGAGATTCGAAGCAGGCGAAAACCTGCATGCTTGGCTAATGACTTGGCCAGCGTACTTTTTCCTGTCCCTGGCGGGCCGTAGAGTAGCACTCCCGGAAACTTACTTTTACCAAGAATACCGTGGCTGAAGGCTTCACTCCTTTCCAGAGAAAGAGCGGCAGCACGCTCGATTCTATCAATTATCGAAGGGTCAAGATAAATATCTGCGTAATCCGCCGCAATATTTTCTTTGGCCGGATTAGAGATAGTCATTAGCAATCATCATATCATACTGTAAATTCAGGGGAGAACCGGAATAAGCTAGCAAGGCGGGAATGCCGAGAGCTTGTATCCGGACACTTTAATGCTAAGGCCAACAAATGCACAGATTCTTAGCGCCAAGGTGTCCGTATATCACTGAAAGTAGCAAGTGGAGGAGACCGAACTGCCCAAGGAGATAGAGGTTCCGTCCATTGTGGCGATTATGGGAAACTTGTTTGAAGCAATCTCTCTTCAAGCCATGCCTCCCAACCCTTGCTAGTGTATTCTCGTTCCTCCAAGGCAGATTTTTTCAACACTCACTGGTATCGACAACTCGACGCAGGAGCTTTCGCTCATACGAATCACACACCTGCTCCAACCTGCTGATATTTGCCTCAAAGTCTTCGGAGGGCTTCCAACCTGGCTCATTTTTAGACGATTCATCGTACTCATTCGTAGGGGGCCTTACCAGATTCCGCATTCTGCTCCGTGTTATATCCAGAACTGCTAGTATGCTCCCGGATGGACTTTCCGTTCAGTTCTCGCGGGGGCATTCTCGAAGGTGCTCGGGTTGGCGCAAAGAACATTCCATTATCCTGAGCCAGAATAGCCTCATAGTCGCTCACCCGACATGTATCTCGAAGGGTCAAGGCCTGTGCCATGGCAAACTCTACTCGTGGAGTTGAGGTGGGGGTTTGGGGTGATGGTGGGTGCGGGTTTGGAGGATTAGATTGGAGGGTGGATGAGCACGGTAGTGTAGGGTGGTGGATCTGGGAAGGGGAAGGGAGAGTACCGGTACAAGTATATGTATTTAAATAGGCCAACCTAGCCAGGGTGCCGGGCACTTGAAATCGACCCTTTCCCGGGGGGGATCGACGAGGAGCGCTCCGAAACAACAACAAAGTTCCTCAAGAAACGAACTGTACAGAATCACTCAAAATCAGCTCCTCTTCAATTCAAAGAAATCCGATCCTCTATCAAGTTGGTATTAATTAGGGACGATAGGGCAGGCGCTGTCGGGGCTGGGGATGCTCGGACGGATTTGTGCTAAGTCGCTGGTTTTTTGTAGGTATTACTAAGGGCCTGTTTGGCGGGAACGGAAGGCGGGTCGACCATGCGGTTTCATTACAGTTTGTCACCTTGAAATGGTCACTAGTAGCTGTTTTGAAATGGTCACTAGTAGCTGTTTTGAAATGGTCACTAGTAGCTGTTTTGAAATGGTCACTAAGGGGGTGTTCGGGTGAACCTGATTATGAGTTCAAAGCGTGATTTTGTGCTTTCAAATTACATGTTAAACCCTAAAATTACAAAGTTTGCAAATCATGTTTTCAAAGACTACTGTCCCGAACACCACCTAATTTGACTTTATGTGTGATCTTAATAAAAACTGTTTATTTAAAAATAATATTCTATTAATGATTATTACTATCTTTTCACTGGACTACATTCTTTTTTTTAAAGCAAAACTGGGTATCCTGTAATTAATAATTTTCGATAATATATCCTTAATTTATTCTGTCGCTCCATAAACCCCACTCAACTTCTTTGTTAAAAAGTAATTATCAATACTACAAATAGTATTAGTTCCTACTATCTTAATATATATTTTGTGCAGAGTTCTTTTTATTTACTAACTATTCAGAGTAGTTGATTCAACTTTTCCATCATGACATCTGAAACAGAAATACAATATCAATTTCTCATAACTTCAGTAGCAGTTCTGTCTAGTACCTTTGCAGCTGGATCAACAACTTTCTCATTAGATGAAGTGGAGAAGACCAGTTCAAAAATATGTTGTAGAATATTTGGTGATGGTGGTCAAGCCTATACAGATAAGTTGTTACAAAAAGTACACCTACAGAGAGTAAAGAAGTATTTATGAATAAAACTAGATGTTTTTCAAAAGCTTTGCCAAAAGTTGAAGAAATATGCTGGCCTGCAGGATACAGTCAATACTATAGTTAAATATCAAGTTCATGTTTTTCTCTATATTGTCTCCACTCATGCCTCAAATTGTACCATCCAAGTGCACTTCTAACATTCTGGAGATACAATATCATTCTACTTTCACCAAGTTCTTGATGCAATTTTACGACTTGAAGATCACTATATTCAGCAACTACAGAAAACAAGTCCTAACGTTTTTTCCAGTCCAACCAGTATGTCACGGCCACCCGGCCCTGTGTGAGGAAGAAACATTGGACTTTTAGTTACATATATTGGTTGTGGTTTCTTTGATTGCATAGTAGGATCTCCTTTATATTATGATTGAGATAGGTTGCTGCGTGACGGAAGCTGGTGGAACCTGATAGAAGGATCACAGCTGGGCGCGATCCCAAGGACTTTCTTTTGCATTAGTGATCATGGAGGATTTCCTATCTATATAAGGAGGTGTACGTCCTTATATTCTATGTTCTTTATGCAATCTGGTAAACTCCTTTGGACACCCTTTCATACGTGCCAGGGATACTCCTTTACCTCTTTGAAGTTTTTTGGCTCAGTTATTTATCTTGCACTTTGTTTGTTGATTGGTTTCACCCCGCTTGAAGCATCTCGCTACCTTTCTCCCCTCACTTAGAGTCGAGTTGGTGTGCGCTACCTAGCCTGGAAGGCACTCTGGGCGAGATATCAGTGGTTTAAGCCCGGTAATCCCAGGTGCAGTCGGGCGGGCAGACATGTCGTCTCCCTCCCATTCTCCTCAGGCCCCGGCCTTGTCGTTTGAGATTACTTCGTCGATGATTGCGGACGCTGAACCTTCTCCTTTCTCCCTGGGTACGCCCTCGGTTATCCGCGATGTCCCGGTTCCAGCACACAAAGCTGTGAGACCCCGCCGGGCCCTTATCGAAATTAAGACACGGTCATACCATGCACCGGGAGGTGACTTCAAGTTCCTCTCGTTTGATCACAATTATGGTTGCGTCAACGCTATGAATGAGGCGTTTGATGATGGCGTGAGGGCTGTGGTTGCTAATGCCAAGCCGGTCACGATGAAAGAGGTGGAATGTTTGGTTGGTGGTTACCTGGTGGGTAAGGGTTGTTTGGCTGAGTGTGGCCTGCACCTTGCTTCGACTACCGGTTTCTTCGACCTATACAACCCCGATGGGGGCTCGGAATTTGATGCGTCCCAGACTCCTTTAGCCCCCGGTGATTCGCAAGTAGTAATCCCGGACTCGGCTACCCTGGCCCTTCCTAAGAGCAGTGCTCCATTCACGATGGAGGTATCGAGTTGGGCGTCTACCCCCCGAGACAGATCCTGTCTCAATCGATTGTGGAAACAATGGCGCCTGGTACATTGGCCCCGTTGGCTGGCGGGAGCCATTCTACTCCCTCTTTGGAAGCCTCACTATCGTCTGGCCACAAGAGGATTTACAAGAAAGGGACGTTCGACCATAATGCGTTGTCCAACTCCGATTATGAACCCACACCGCCCCCAGTTGCGGAATGAAAACGACGTGGACGATCCCCCTCGCCGGACCCCACATTGGTATCTGTGTCCAGTGGCAGTTCGGGTTCCGTTCTCACTCCTACAAAGGGTGTACCGACTAAGGAAGGGAGGAAGATGAAGGTGATTCCCCGAGACCAACTAACCCTGGGTGAAATTAGGCAACAAATGGCCCCGGGATTCAAGCAGGTCCCATACCTGCCGTCTACTATCGAGTCATCAGACAGGGCAAGTTCTCCCCCTTTGGCTACTGCTGACGTACTTCCCTCTGCAGAGGTGATTGCCAAGGACACCCCCATGGACATGGGTGGAAACAGGAATACCGAGGCTACCGGTTTGGGAGACAGCAAGTAGGTTGACTCCGAAGCAGTCCTGTCTTCCCCGGTTTGATCAAGCTCGCCCATCGTGGCACAACCCCCCACCCAGCCAGAATCGATGGATGCACAGGTGGCGAGGGCGCAGGATGCGATGAGGCAGTTGGATGAGGCTGAGATGGCGCTGGATAGGATTGATGAGGAGCTGTATGCCCCCCCTTCTAGGTGCTCGGATTCAGTGGTATCCCGGGACTTGATTCTTGGGGTACTTGATGAAATAGGGACCCCTGCTGCCATCCCATGCACTGGGGATGTTCCTAGCCCCTCGGAGGATAGTTCGGACTCGAGTTCTGAGTCAGACTACCAAGGTGAAGAGGCTCGACGGTTGTTGGTCGGTGGGAAGGAAGGCTATAGTAACCTTGGTGATGTGGCAAGGGATATGAGGGCTGTCTTCCAGGTGTTGGAGGACAATGAAAAATGCTACAGGGACCTACGGTATAGGGTCTTTGAGCTGGAGGAGGAAAACAGGAAGCTTGAGGCTGCAGTCAAGAGAAGAACTGGGCTCTCTCGTGACGCCCCCGTTCCCCCTCCCCCCTCACCTCCCCCTGTGAAGAGCACTCCATCTGTGAGTGGGGAGTCGGCTATGGCTGCTCCTACTGCTAAGAAAGTGTCTTGGGCCACCGTGGCCAATAGGCACATGGCACCTGATGCCACCAAGGTTGCACCCTCCTCGGCCCCTTCCAAGGCTGACGATAAGGAGAAGAGTTGTGGTAGATGCAATGTGGTAGGGCATTATGCAAGAAACTGCAAGGAGCCCAGGAAGGAGAAGAAGATGAAGCCGGTGGAGGTGGCCCTTCCACTGCCAACAGGGGGCATCTCGTCAAGCTTCTCCAGTTCTGACAGTGATAGTGGAGTATCTGTTGCCCCCACCCCCCCGGCTGACACAAAGGCCAAGACCAAGCCTAAATTGGTTCAGATGAAGAAGGCCCAGGTGGCAGAAACGCCCTCGTCGGATGGGGAACCCACCCTCCCGGAAGGACCTGCGGCGGCGATACCGGGTGCCTGGAAGACTGTGGTTGGGAAGAAGAGTTACCTGGCCAACACTCGGTTTGACCGTGGGGACAGCAAAGCGCCTGCACCCCCCTCCTCCTCGCCGACCCCCAAGGCCAAGAGCCGCGGACTCTCTATCCGGTTCCTCGATAGGAAATCGGTGGAGCTCCCTAACGGCGTCACGACTGAGACTATCTGGTCTCGCATCAACATTCTCCTGTCCTATAAGGGCAGGGTGGCAGGATCTGTCCCGTATATTAAGGAGGCGGTGTTCCGGACCCCGATTGGTTGTATCTTCATGACGCTTGCACAGCATGAGGTCGGCCAGATTCAGGGACAGCTGGAATGGATCAGGATGATCCTCCTCAAAGAACTGGCCATCCCGGACTTCGAGTTCCAGCGCGACATGGACAAGATCACCATTCGTGTCAGCCAGGTTCCTTTGGCTGATACCGGGTACGGGTCTGTGTGGAAGGTTGACTCTTGGACTGGAGACAAGGCCTTTGATGGCCTCCGCCTAGACATGGAACAGTCCAACCCAGGGGTTAATACTGCCGGACGACTAGCGTTACTGGGGTCGGCTAAGGCACTGCGACAAAACAACACCACCACATGTGGGATTAGGTTTGTGGTGGAGAGAAATGACGCCATCCTGGCAGCCTTGGCTAAAGGCACTGTTTGTTTGAGGAGCCGCCCCCGGCCTGTAAGAATCTTCATGGAGCATTGCTCCCCGGTGGTGTGCCGGAGGTGTCTTCAAGTAGGGCATATGCAGGTTACCTGTGCCTTCCCCTCCTGTTGTCGTTTTTGTTTGGGGTCACACTTGTCCAAGGACCATGAGTGTGGCATGATTAACTACCTGGGGGTTAGGGGAAATGCATGTTCTCATACACGGAGGCTTTGTCTGCTGTGTGATAGGTCCGATCACTTTACCGGGCACCTGTCTTGTACCGCTACCGA